GGGGGGGGGTGCTGGAAGGGAGGTAGACACATTAAGGAACCCAAATAAAGTAGAGTTTAAAACTAGCACCTACAGAAAATGAAGGCCATTAATAGTAGAGTAGGAATATAATTCCTGGAGGGACTCTGGCCAGCTTGCGTGTGGTGACCACGGCTCCAGCAGGCCTTGCCCTTCTTTCCCTTTTCCTCTGCCTTGCTAAACACTGTTACATTCCATCCCTAAAGCTGGCCACTTCCTCCTCCTGAGACTGACCACAAGGTCTAGCTATCAGAGTATTGAAGCCCAGCATCGAAAGCCCCCTTTGGCTCACCTAATGAACATGCCCAATCAAAATTAAACACCTTATCCTAACTCAGGGTTTTCCCCTTTACCTTTATCAACTGCCATTTGCCTATGAGCCACCTCTGTCTCCCCGCTATCCCAAGGCAGTCCTTGTCCTCTAGGACAAATACCTCTCCCCCCTCTCCCTTGTTCCCTTCCCCTTCTCCCTCATCCTCTTATCTCCTGTCTTGGTCCCTTATATCCCTGCCTTCTGTCCCTCTGGGGCAGATAAAGCTCTTTTGTGCTAAGAACTTGGTCTTGGGGGTCCTGGCCTGATACTTTCTCTGTGAATTCCCACAGAGTTCTAGTTTGCATTCTATTGCTGAGGTAAACACTATGACCAAAAGCAACTTGAGAATGAAAAGGCACATTTGGCTTATCCATCTTGATCACAATCACTAGGGGAAGTCAAGGCAGGCCCTCAAACAGAATAGAGTCAGGAACCTTGGCCACTTACTGGCTTGCTCAGCCTGCTTTCTTATACAACCCAGAACTATCTGGCCAGAAGTGGCGCTGCCCACAGTGGCCCTCCCTCCTACATCCATCTCTAATCAAGAAACTGCCCCACAGGCTCACCTTCACACCAGTCTGATAAACAATTCCACAGTCAAGATCCCCTCCCTTCCAGATATGTTTAGGTTGTATCAAGTTGACAAAACTTAACCAGCCCTCCCTTTATTTTTTAATTTTAATTATTTGTATGAATGTTCTGCCTGCATGTATACCTTTATCCTATGCAGCTGCCTAGTGCCCACTGAGGCCAGAAGAGGACATCAGATGCCCTCAGAATGGAGTTACAGTTGTGAACTGCCGTATGGGTGCTGGGAATTGAACTTGGGTCCTCTAGAAGAGGAACCAGTGCTCTTAACTGTTAATCCATCCCTCCAGACCCCAGAACATAATTCTTTAGAAAAGAGAAAAAAAATGCAGAAATCATCCATTGTTTTGTGATAGTTGTCATTGACAGGCAACTTGGCAGAATCCAGTCATTGAGACAAACTCTGAGCATCTCTATAAGGAAGTTTCTAGAAATGGGTAATTGATTTGAGGCAGAAAGATCCATTCTGAATGTGGGTGGTGTCATTCTATGGGCTGGGATCCCAGACCAAATAAAAACACAGCAAGAGGAGTGTTAGCATTCACTGCTTCCTGCTTCCCGACCACTAATACAATGGGACCAGCTGCCTCATGCTCTGTCGTGCCTAATACCCTCACACTGTGATCCCCAGTAAACCGTTCCTTCTGAATTAGGTTGCTGTCAGATACTTTGATATTTTGTCAAAGCAACAAGTAAAGTAACAAATTCACCTAATTTATAGTCATTCTTGATTCGGGGGATACAGCAAAATACCACTAATTCCATTTCATACTAGTGCCAGAGGAGACACAACATTATACAGCAGTTACAGAAGATACAGGCTGTGATATGCTGTGGAAAACAGCAAAGCATTCAGAGCGCTGTAACAAACTTGACTTTGATTGAAACAGCTAGGAAGGCTTCTCTGATGGTGACATAACTTGCAGTTAAGTGGTTATCCAAATAGATGGTGACAATGGTAGGTAGGTGAAGTGTGGCAGGATGTAGTGATGGATTGATATGAGACGTGACCCAGAAAAGGAGGGGGTGTGAGTGTGTGTGTGTGTGTGTGCACACGCTTGCACGCACAGTGAGGTTTCATGGAGGAATGAGGGAACTCGAGATTGCAGATTTTGGATAAATCAAGTTTTCAAGGTATGGAACAATGGGGTGGAGCTAACGTTTTAATTTGGATGCTCGTATGCCCTGCTGTCCATGACACCATATTGTGTAAAACTGTGTCGTTGGGTTTTCTCCAAGACTGATTTGTCCTGAGAGACTCCATTTTATGAGCAGTTCTGACTCCATTTTGTAAGATGACTCTGCAGGTATGTAAACATAGCCTGTCACCATCTGTCTTGCACCCCCAGGAAGCACAGGCTAATAAATGACTTTATTTCTGGGAGTATACATGGAGCCACACTATAAATGTATCAAGGTGAACTAGTGCTATAGAGCACATGGCTGTATTAAAATCCTATCAGATGGCTGTTGGGGTGGGCTTTGTGGATAAGGCATATGCCACCAAGCCTGTCAACTTGAGTCTGATCCCAAGAACTCATTTGGTGGAAGAAGAGAGCCAGCTCCTGCATGTCGTCCTCTGTCCTCCAGAGCATATGCACATAAATAATAAAAACATAATGCAACACCGGGAAAACTGTGCCTGAGAACATATTAGATACATAGGCCATAGAAATAGAGGGACTCTCGCTAGGACCTCACAAAGGGCAGAGACCTCTGACTGTAATTGTGATGTCTCCACTAACCTGTCATCTGACATCCAGTGTATGTCTTTGCAAAACCCAGTGCTCCCAGGGGCTAGCTCTGCTCTATGTCCCGGCTGTTGACATAGGCTACGCAAATTGCCATCTGCCTGTCTGGACCTGCGTCTTCTGTCCATCCATTTGTTCTTGTTGATCAGGTCCAGCGCTTTTACTCCTGAAGCTGGACTCAACTACATCTCAACTCTGACCCCATAGCCTGACTCTATAGCAGTGGCCACACTCCTTTCCAAAACCTTACAGTTGGTTTGGTATCTGAAAATAGACTCCTTTTGCATTTCTGTCAGTTACCCAGCGTTGGCCTCTCAAACCTTTTTGAAGTTACTTAAAACTTGTTTCTTTAACCTTTCATAATCATTCTATAACCTACATATATTCCTATGTATAGATTGATTGATTTTCTGTGTGATCTCAGAATTAGTATATCAATTAATACTTAAATGAAAGAACCCAGGCTGAGCACCATGGCAAATGCCATTTATCCCAGTGCATGGAAGAGGCAGGAAGATCTCTGTAAGGCCAGCTTAGTCTACATAATGAGTTTCAGGCAAGCCTGGTGTATTAGAGAGACCTATTTCGCACACAAAAACTTTTAGAAAGAGCAGACAGAACCAGGCATGACAGGCACACACCTTTAACTCAGCACTCCCTGAAGCAGAGATCTCTGTGAGTTCAAGGCCAGCCTGGTCTACAAAGTGAGTTCCAGGCCAGCCAGGGCTACACAAAGATGCCCTGTCTCAAAAATAACAAAATAAAACAAAAAGAGCAGACAGACTAAAAGGCAGAGAGAAGGAGCAGCGCGTTCACCAGACGACAATGAAGCATGTTTGAGCCATTGGAAATTCCAGTGGAGAAGCTGAAGAAAAGAAGGCACCTAGTCAAAGGACAGACCGAGCAGAGTGGGGAACTATGAAGAAATATCACTTGGAGGAAATAAAAACAAAACTGCCATCTCAGACTTCAAAAAATACAACTTAGAAGTAGAGGGTATGTGGGGCTATTTCCATAGCAAGAAGAAATTCCTATGGTGATAAATGGACAGTATCCCTTCCCACCCTCATACCAGCCAGCCAAGAAGTAACCTCACCAAAACCGAAATAACAAATAGGGGTCTTGTCTGTGGTATACGTTTATATACCCTGGAATAGCTCTGGTATTAACAGTTCCAAACCAAACACAGGATGCTTCTTACTCCAAGAGGCAAGGCTTGAGAGAGACTGGTTTCTGTGGACAGCTGAGAGACAACCACAGATTCTTTGCACTCTGCTCATCAGGAAGTGATCCATTACCCTGTTCCTTAACTCTGTAGTCAGTCTGGCTTTGCTGTTCCCACGGCCGTAAGAATGTGAAGTGCTATTTCCAGCCACTTTGAATCGAACTGACTCAGCGGCTAAACAGAACCTGCCTGAGTAGGAATAGAGACCATTTTGGACCGCACAGTTTAGCCAACTCTCGCTGACGGAAACCAGCAGAGGAATCACCGGCCCTTGTCGTTGGTAATTCACTCATGTTTGAGACAGCTTGCTACCATGCAATAGCTAGCAGAAAATACTGCATTGCGACCCTGGCTGCAGGGGCATTTCCTATGTGTTTGTTCTGCAGGGGTTCTGTCGCTTTTCAGCAGGGATTTCCTAGCCAGCAGCAATTTGGAGCACGCCAAAAGCAAACATCATCACTCCAGTTTATTATTAGGTTTTGTATTGCGGGTAACAATTATTCCTTCCAATGCACTTCGTCTTTCAAAACCGGTCTTGTACCTCTTCACATTTACTATGAAGAGGAGCTGTGTCAAGACCCAGGGCAGTGCCTTCATGTTAGCAGAGTAACAGCTGGCAGTAATGCGTGGTGGGTGACGTGCCTGCTCTGGATTCCCGGGGCCCTCTTCAAAACTCGCTCCAAGAAACGCTCCTCCCTTCCCTTCGCCCCTACTGTCACTCGGGGAGTAACCCCCTCTTTCCATCTTTGCTAGTTCTTTGAATGTGGCCTGTGCCCCTTCCCAGAATCCAGTTTTAAATTCATCGAGCTGCTGGAAAACACCCTTAAAAGCCCAGCCGGGGCTGGAAGGAAAGGAGAGCGCCTCCTTCAGGCTTGACCACGCCCCTCCTAAGGCCCGGGGTGGCTTCCCGGGGGCGGGGCCCGGTGGGGGCGGGGCTGGAACGGCGTCTCACGTGCATGTGCCCCGGGTCCCTAGTGTGCTGATCGCACTTCAGTTTGCCAAAAATCGGCTGCAGGAAGACCGGAAGAGGCAGGTGGGTGAAGCCGGAAGCAGATGCTGGCTTCGCGGCCCTGATCCGGAGTGGGTGATACGGGGACCACGCGGGCGTCACTTGGGCCCCCCTGGCTGGGACCGAGGGCTCTGCAGATTACCCGGGGTGCCCCCACGCTGTAATTTCACCACCAGGACAGCTGATTTCTAGCGGGGCGGAGGGTCACTAAGCAATACGAATGCTGGTCGCGTGCCTGCTCAGGGAGAGTAAAACTGGCTTAAGTCCGTACCCACGTTCCGGGCTTGGATCGTGTCCTCCGGGAGGGAGCAGGGTAACAGTTTGGGAAGGCCTTGTGAGAAAGGTGGGTTTGTGGTTTGGCCTGGCGCTGCTCTTCTGTCACGGAGAACCATGTTCGGTGGTAGAAGTGTCCCGGAACCTGGAAGTCGGTGCCTCCTGAGAAAAAAATTGTAGCACTAACAATGAAGATGAAAGCGGAGAGCTGGGGGTTGCTCGGCGGTACAGCTCAAACCTAGATTGAGCAAGTTCCTGAGTTCCATCCAGTGCACAGCTAAACCTTTTAAACTACGAGTGTACATGGCTATAGCAACCACATTCCAGCGCGGGAACCATGCCCGGGAACAATCGTGTGTGTGTGTGTGTGTGTGTGTGTGTGTGTGTGTGTGTGTGAATTTTCTGAGCCTTTTTTTTTTTTTTGTCTCATTGATCTTTTGCTCATTTTTACTTTAGTTTTTGTGAGTTTTATTTGTTTTTTAAAGAAAGAAAACAAATTTGGGAGATGGGATCTGGAAAAGGGGGAGGGGAAGGAACATGATCAAAATGTATGAGAAAAATTTTAACTAAAAATATGTGAGTGTAAGGAGACATGCAAAGTGACTTTGTAGAAGCAAAATTCTAGGCTTTCAAAGGCTAGACGGTTTCATTTAGTCTGATAACTAAAATAGTTTGTGGTACATAAAATCTTTCTAACTTCTTTTTTTTTTTAATTAATTTATTAAATGTTCTGCCTGCGTGTGTGCCTGCATACCAGAAGAGGGCATCAGATCTCATTACAGATGGTTGTGAGCCACCATGTGGTTGCTGGGAGTTGAACTCAGGACCTTTATGAAGAACAGACAGACCTCTTAACCTCTGAACCATTGCTCCAGCCCCTCTTTCTAACTTCTTAATCTCAACACACACTTAACCATTTGAATGAGGCCTAGATTAACAGTCCTGTTTAAACTTGCCTCACATACAGATTTCCAGTCCTCCCTATTCTGGCCCTGCTTTTTCTTTTCCCCATGACAGTCATCACCTTTATGTAGCTAGCTGATGAATCCCAACTGCCAAAAACAAAGCATGGCTTGTAGTAAATGCAGAATCAGTTAAATTATTTACCTTTGTTATATTTAATTCACAGTGTATGTCTATGCCTGGGTGGAGATTTTTCAGGAGCTATTAAAATGCATGAATTAAACAAATACACAACCTGTGCACTGCTCTAACTCAGGAGGTAGGTCAGTTCCAGAGCTTTTATTGAAATCCCATTTTGGGCTGTTTCATTGTGGGCTGTAGTTAATTTATCAAGGTAAATTCCAGTTTAACATATCTTTTAGGAAAACTTGTACACCTAAAAGAATTTGTGTTGGGGCTGGAGAGATGGCTCAGAGGTTAAGAGCACTGACTGCTCTTCCAAAGGTCCTGAGTTCAATTCCCAGCAACCACATGGTGGTTCACAACTATCCATAATGAGATCTGGTGCCCTCTTCTGGGGTGCAGGTGTACATGCAGGCAGAACTCTGTATACATAATAAATAAATCAATCTTTAAAAAAAAAAAGAATTTGTGTTAAATGAGCAAAAAGGGGGGGAGTCAGAAGGGGAGACCCTGTAATCAGTTGTTTCAGTCCATCCCATATTGGTCTGATATGAATGATTTGTGCATAATACATTTAGTTCAGTCGTCCTATGTGCTCCTGAATTGATCAATTGAAGGCAGTTGAATCAGATAGAGATTGAACTATTTGCCTAAAGCTATTCAGTTGTTGAGTCTCAAAGTCACGTTAAAATGGAAAAGCAACTATTTCGCCTTCACCTCTGTATGTTACCAAGAGTGGCAATCTTAACCCTAGGAAAGGCTGTCCCAAGGTCTTTTTCAAATCCCAACTTCTGTGGACACATTCTGGTTTATTAGTGTTCGTCATGGATCACCGTGGAGAGGATCTTTGGCCAGTGAGCCTAGATAGTCACTGAGCTCCAGGTTCGGTGAGAGATCCTGTCTCCAGGAATGTGGTGGAGAGTGATAGAAGACCCTAACATTGACCTCTGACCTGTGTGTATGAGAGTGCGCTTGCGTGTGCATACACAGACCCCCCCCAAAATGATATAAAAGTAAATTTAATATAGGTGAAAGCAGGAATGGCAGGGTATTTCTATTTTCTCATTGACGCTAGGGCAAGAGGATTATTTGAGCCCAGGGGTTCGAGGTCAGATGAGCCACACAGTGATGTCTCAGGGGGAAGTGACTGACATAATACCGTCCAGTTTCAGGGAGAATGTGCATGTGTAAAGGTGTATGCCCATGAACAGGAAGAAAACAGCTTGTTTATGCTGTTAGTTGATTATCTCCAGATGGAAGGATTCTGGATTCTTTCATTTTCTCCTTTTTACTAATCTATTACTCTTCTCCATGAAAATGTATTGTGGCCAGTCTCTTGGCGAAGGGAAGGACCGTGACCCCGCCGCCACCTGGGTTGTAAACAGCACTGCATGCATGTGCGCAGGTCTAGTGGCCTGAAATCCCCGGCACTGGGTTATTTTGAGACCTTTAAGGCTTGGGTTGTAAGGGCTTTTGGCAGAATGTAAAAACCCTGAGGAAAACCTCTGCTCCCCAAAAGCTGGGACAGTGAGCTAGCCAAGAGTCTTCTGGGTTTGGACATTCTGGCAAAGACAATTGCCAAATGAGAACTACAACATAGATCAGGGACCCAACTTCTCATTTCAAAAGGGCCTGGCTTCGGGACTCCGTACAGGGAATGTGCTTCAGCTTCACCTGTACAACTCAGAGCAGAGCGAGATCCGTGCCTCCTGCCTCCCATTAGAGGGCTTCAGTGCCATCCAAGATTCCTTGGAAAGATTATCACTGTTCTGCTGGTCTACAACCTCTCAGAATTTAGTCAGATGAAGAGTTAAACCATTCTAATACATACTGGACTCAGGATCATCCAAAATTGGCTCCGTATCCTGATAAATGCTAAGTTTCCAGATAGTAAGACAACAGGTGAAATTTCCCAATTACTGCAGAGCACCTGGAGTTGTGATATGCCTCTAGTCCTTGATTCCCCTAACAAACTGTTTGTTAAGGATTAGCCAGGCTATCTCTGTTTAAGAGAGCAGACTCGGTATTCTTTCATGGTTACACAAACAAATAACAGCTAAAGTGAATGGAGGGCAACACCCGGCTCCCAGTACCCCAGTCACCAACAAAGGTCTGTGGTCTGTCGCTTTTCCTTGGGAGTTGTGAAGGTTCTGTGGGAAATTTTTGATTACTGTAATGTTCTCTCATCAACAAAAGAAAAAGACTATACTATGTTGTCAGGAATTTTATTATCAAGTGAAAAATAATGAAGGCAACAAGACATGTCACAGTGGAAAACACAACATCGCTGCCCTTCTTTCTAGCTGTTCTAGTTATTGAGAATGGTCTCCCAAGAAACGCTATAACACTGTTTGCTCAGACCTGCCATTCACTAGACTGCACCAGTCAGAATGCAAAGCAGGCTGGGAGCAGTGGACACAACTTTAACGCTAGCCCTCAGGAAGAGAAGGCAGGCAGAAGATCTCTGAATCTGAGGCTAGCCCAGTCTTCATTTAGTGAGTTCCAGGACAGCCAGGCCTACCTAGTGAGATTCTGGATTTAATTTAAAATAAAATAAAATAAAATAAAATAAAATAAAATAAAATAAAAGCAAAAAAGAAAATGTATTGTGAATTCAAGATAATCTGGCTTTGTTGTACACTACTGAATGTATTTATTTCATACTGTATGAAAATTCACTTATTTCATTTTAGTTGAAATTAAAGTTTATCTTCATTGATTTCCCATGGGCACTATATTACAGAGCTGCTAAAGACTAAGGGCAAAGCTGAAAGGCAAGGAAGGTCTGGACCCTTTGATAAGTTTTGGATAATTTACAAATAGCTAAAGGACAGAATTTAATTTTTTCCACTGAACTAATTTATCTTCTTTTGTCTTGCTTTTAAAAGCATGCTAATTCCATTTTCAATGAAGAGCTGCTTCCGGTTACTTTGCCACCGTAAGGTCCCAGCAGCTGGCTTTAAAATCCCAGCCACACCTGGGCTCATTTTACAATCACTCTCTCATGATGTGTATCAAAATCTGGCTATAGAAGACTGGATCCAAGACCATATAAATCTGGAAGGCAAGCCAATTCTTTTCCTGTGGAGAAACTCTCCCTCTGTTGTCATTGGTAGGCACCAGAATCCGTGGCAGGAATGTAACCTCCATTTGATGAGACAGGGCGGAATAAAGCTGGCTCGGAGGAAGAGTGGAGGCGGAACAGTGTACCATGATTTGGGTAACATCAATCTCACCTTCTTTACCACCAAAGCCAAGTATGACAGAATGGAGAATCTGAAGTTAATCGTCAGAGCTCTAAATGCTGTCCAACCGCAGCTGGATGTGCAGCCTACGAAGAAGTTTGACCTGCTGCTGGACGGGCAGTTTAAACTCTCAGGGACTGCTTCGAAGATCGGCCGGACCGCCGCCTACCACCACTGCACCTTGTTGTGCAATACTGACAGGGCGGCCTTGTCGTCTCTGCTGAAGAGCCCGTACCACGGGGTAAAGAGCAATGCCACTGCCAGCATCCCTGCCGTAGTCAAAAACCTTGGGGAAAGAGACCCCACACTGACCTGTGACGTTCTGATGAGCGCCATTGCTGCAGAGTACGCTGACCATCACCAGATTGACAACCATGTTAACCTAATAAACCCCGCAGACGAGACGGCATTTCCCGGAATAAACAGCACAATCAAAGACCTGCAAAGCTGGGAGTGGATATTCGGCCGGACTCCCAGGTTTAGTGTGAACACCACATTCCATGTGCCGTACGAGCAGGCACATTTGGAAATTCAAGTGTTCATAGACGTAAAGAATGGACGAATTGAAACCTGTGACATTAAGGCACCTGGCCACTGGCTGCCACTGGAAATAGGTGACAAATTAAACACAAGCCTTATTGGCAGCAAATTCTGCCCCACTGAAACCAGCCTGCTAACAAACATGCTACTGAGGACATGCCCAGACGACCATCGTTTGCACAGTCGATGGAATATTCTGTGTGAGAGAATCCGGGGGATAATGTGACCCTAAGGGACTCACTCTCTAGTGACAATTTCAGTAAGAAAATTATAAAAGTATGGAATTTATTTAGTGCCTGTTAAAGAAATAGGGGTGCCAGATTTGGCTTGTCTGGCCTGAGATGGCGGGTTACTAGTTTCTGCTCCTCAGTTTTTGTCACAAACTTTGACTGATGATTTGTTAAGGGTTGAGGCCTTCAGACATGAGGCTTTCTGGCCCCCATCTTCCTCAGCATTTCTCTTTTCATTAAACTTCAAGGAAGAAACCGTGTCCCTTTCCTCAAAGCTAACCTCCTACCTGGATTGTGTCCTCTCCTGTTTGTGTTTTGGCTTGTACCATTGAATTTTTTTTTAAAGCAAAGAGTGTTAGTTAGGGTTTCTATTGCTGTGATAAAACACCATGACCAAAAACAACTTGGGGAGGAAAGGGTTTATTTCATCTTACAGTTCCACATCACAGTCCATCATTGAAAGTTAGAGAAATGCAAGGTAAAACTGGGGCAGAGGCCATGGGGGGCTATTTACTGGCTTCTCAGCCTACTCTCTTACAGCCCCCAGGACCACCAGCCCGGGGTGGCACTGCCCATCCTGACCTGGGCCCTTCCACATCACCCAAAAGAAAACACCACAGACTTGCGCACAGGCCAGTGTGGTAGGTGCATTTTTCTCAGCTTGAGGTTCCTTCTTCCCAAAATGGCTGTACCTTGTATCAAGTTGACATAAAACTACTAAGTACCAGGTCTCAGCATGCAGCCCTAGCCAGCCTAGGACTTGCTATGTGGACCAGGTTAGCCTCGAACTCAGAGATCTGCCTGCTTCTGCCTCCTGAGTGTTGGGATTAAAGATGTGCGCCCCCATGACGAGTGATTCATAAATTTATTATCTTGCATCTGGCCTTCTATTGGGTCCTTAACCAGAGTGAATTCGCACTTCCCAAACTTCCCTGCTAAAATGCCTTTCTTCCTATCTTCACTTTTCCAACTTTCTCATACTCCAAACTTTTTCCGAGACTTCCGTCACTGTTGGCGGCTTCTTACGTCTAATCCATCCCTACACCTTCCTTCCTACAGTACCGGGTATTCACTGAGCACACACTATAAACCACGCACTGCCAGCCACTGTTTGTGAACTGACAGATTTAGTAAATCGGTGTTTTCATATAACAGGCCAGAATTAGAGTAAAAATGTTTTTTTGTTTTTTTTTACGTGGAGCATACATTTATTTAGTTCAAAGCTGCGCCTTTTCACGGAAGGCTTCCACCTGTCAGTCTGTAGCTCATGGTAGTCTGCTGCCCACCTAGAATGAACCACTATGTTACCTCAGGTAACAGCAGTTTCTGATGCTCTTTACTGAGAGCATCAGGAAACCGAGTATAGGCTAAAGTTTAGGAGAATACTGAACACTAAGCTTGTTTTGAGTCCTGAACCAGACTCCCAGGCACACCAAGCCATGCACTATCCAGCTGCTCCCAACTCTTGTATTTAGAAGGCAAGATGGAGAAGTGTGCTTGAGGAAAACGATTTCAAGAAAGGAGTGGCCAGCTGCATGAAATACTCCCGACAGGCTGGCTATTACGTTTCAAAAGTGGCCATTAGAAGAGGATGGGGATTAAGGAAGGATGAGAGAATGGAGAAGTGGATATGATCATGACCATCATGAAAAGGTCACGGAGCCCATTCTGTATCACTAGTGGATGGCGATAACTTAAACAGCACTTTAAAAAGTGCTGGGTGTGATAGCACACATCTGAACCTCAGCATTCGGGGGCTGAAGCAGGAAACTACCATTCTGAAACCAGCCCTTACTGCAGACTGAAAGCCAGGCTTACCACATGTCCACAGAGTTAGGTGGTATAACGGTTACTTCTGACCTTCATGGCCTCCCTGCAGTGCCCGGCACAGCAGCTAAGAGGGAAGTGAGTAGAAGCAAGAACAGGCGGTGAGGAAATGCAAAACCAACTCTAACAAGTTTTGTTCATGGAAAACAGAAAGGGCAGCAGCTTGCTGGGGATGTGCTGTTGGCTCCTCTGACTAGGACTGGTCTCTTGGGATGGGCAGGTTGTCTGAATCGGCAGAACTATCTTAGTAGTTGTCAGAATTGACAACTATCTTACAGTGCTTGCTTGTGGTGCCGGAGATGGAAGCCAGGACCGGGCCCATGCTAGATACAGTGCTGTCCTCTGAGATTCATCTTCAGTCGCATGTACACTTCCCTCTCGCTATTAGGCCCTCAGCCCTCCTGTCTTACAGGCACTGTAGACTGATCTTCCTTCTGGAATTCCAAGAGCAAGACTAACATCCTCATAACAACTGGGCAAGACTTGCTGAGCTACCCTCCAGCAACCAGAAGCTGGTGAAATCTTTCAGTTAACTCCATGACTTAAATAGGAACACTGTGAATCGACTGAACAGCATACTTACAGATGAGTAGATCCAGAAATCATAGAAATGTAAACATTTATTGTTAAATTCATACATTATAAAAATACGCTCGAAGTAAATAAAAAGAAGGAACAAACCCAGTGCTTTCTTGCTGTGGTTTGAATGTATCCCCAAACAGTTCACGAGTGAGAACCTTGGTCCCTAGTACATCCCTGCCGAGAGGGGAGACCTCTGAGGCGGCTGGTTCTGCCTCACAGGCTTTGTTATAGAAGCCTGCTCCATTTTGTTGCCATGTGGAATGCCGAAGGAGGCTCCTCCCCAATGCCAAGGCCTAAACCTCTGTTCTTTATACATTATCCAGTGTGTGGTATTCAGTTATAGCAACGAAAACGGGCTGAGATCACCTAAAGCAGAAATGTTCACTTAGGTTATTACACGTCATATTTTTTTTGTGTGCTTGTTATGGAAAATGTCCACTGTTGTTTCATGACACGGCCTCAGGTCTAAATCACAATATCCAAGAGAAAAACGACCCTATGAAGAAAAGAAGAGTACTATTAAAAACAACACCCACAAAAAGGTAAGCATGACATTTCGTCTATAGCGCCAGCTACTCTGGAGGGTAAGGGCCCAGGCGTTCATCAAAACAAACAAGGAAACGGTGCTCACACTTGATCCTAAGATCATATCCTACCTGTGGTTTCTTAAAATAATCAAGTCCCCTTCCAATTTTAATCATCCATCCATTGTTGAACCTATTGAAATGAGTGCACAGTATTATATTCAAGACATTTGAGTCAGAAAGTTTTCAAAGCCAGAGTTGGTTAAGAATCAACAAGATTTCCCCCTAAACCAAGAAATGCATGAGTTGAGTCAAACTGGGGCTAGTCCAGAGCTGAGTCCAAGGAAAAGGAAAAGCATCAAATGCCATCAGCTAACCCGGTTTAGGTGAGAAAGAACGTAACCATTACATGGAAAGCTACTTTTGAATCTCGGCTTGCTCAAGCTCTTCTCTACTAATAAGTGGTTTGCAAAGCATCACAAAGAACATGGTAACGTTCCAAAGGTGCCTGTGATGGCTCTTCTGGTTGTCAACTTAACCACATCTGGAATTATCTAAAACTCAAATGGCTGTGCACACCTTTAAGAGATTTTTTTTCTTTAATTAAACTATTTGAAGTGGGAAGACCCACTTCTTACCCAGATTCTTTGAGGTGGGAACATGCACCTTTAATCTGGGCCACACCTTCTGCTGGCAGGAGATAAAGGTCATAGAAGAAGGAAGCTCTCTCTCTCTCTCTCTCTCTGCTTGCTCTCCCCCTGCTAGCATGTCCATTCCTTCACTGCCATTAGAGCCCACTCCTTCAGGATTCCAGTGGATAGTGAAGCCCAGCTGAGACATCAGCCTCGTGGATTGAACAACTCATGGTTCTTGGACTTTGCATTGGTGAACAGCCATTGTTGGATTAGCTGGACCACAGCCTGTAAGCCATTCTAACAAATCCCCTTTAAACATATTTGCTGCCCTGACTAACACAGTGCCACTATGCAGAGACAGCGGCTAGGACCCCATGGGCAGCCCAGACCCTCACCTCTGCTTCAGCAGCAGCAGCCCTGACATCTGTTTTGCATAGTTAGCTTCTAATTAACCTTTGTTAGAAACAGGCCTCTGTGCGGAAACATATGAAAATGACTATGCTAAAGGGAAGGAAGGGATCACTGAAAAGCTGAATATCCTGACAGCACACTGCCAGAACATACCACCAAAGCCACACCAGGTAAATAGTAATTTCGATAGGAAAGGAATTACCTCCTACCACAACACTGGCTATGGTCTGCACAAAAGAACTTCCCACATCACACACAACTCCTAAATATTATTTGATTAAGAATTAACTAACTTAGGGCTGGAGAGATGGCTCAGAGGTTAAGAACAATGGCTGCTCTTCCAAAGGTCCTAAGTTCAATTCCCAGCAATTACATGGTGGCTCACAACCATCCATAGTGAGATCTGGTGTCCCCTTCTGGCCTGCATGTGTACATGCAGGCACAATACTGTATAAACAATAAATAAATCAAAAAAAAAAAAAAAAGAGAGAGAGAGAGAGAATTAACTCACTCTACAAAGTAAGCCAAGGTTTCTTGTCTAAAATGTGAAGTACTAAATTTGAGCTTGACTTGAAGTTTAAATATTTAAATATGTGTATATAATTATAGTACGTTAGAGTTTTTAAGATATATCTCAGCTATGAAAAAGATATCATACACTAACCTAATTTCTCGGTCATGTATTGACGAAGAATAGCTCACTTCCAACAGCACTCCATGACTTCTGAGGGACTGTTTTATTTCTTCTAGGCCAATACTTTGCTGTGTGTTCCCAAAACCCTATTGGTGACATGAAATATAATTTACTGCCTCTAGTATTAATAACTTAAATAATCCATGAGCTATACAATAAATGCTACAGAGATATTAAACAGAAAAGATTCTATATTCATTTCAATATTACTGTCTCAAAGGAACAACTGAGGGATGGGTAATTCCTTTTTTTTATAGTTTTTATACAAATAGTTGTTTTCCTAATGTGAACATCAAACACATCCCTCTTCTCTTACCCTCCCGCTCCTCAGGACACAGGCAGGCCACCAGGCACCATGCTCAGCTTCCTTAAACTTTAGTAGTGACACTCAGCCATCCACATGGGACTACCTACTGCTCAGACTGACCTCGGAGATTATAATTACTCGGATGCACTTCTCCTTAATCTAATCCTGACACACGCAGTGAGGGACAGAACTGTCCCTACGCAGACTACACAATCACTGACAAACTACTCAAACTGGCTGAATATGAGGTCAACACTCTCAAATCAAATGCTTATGAAAATGCTATACTTGGTACTGCACGGTGAGTTGCTCCCAAGGAAACACATCTGGCTGAAGGGCTGGGTCACGAAACTGGTAACTGAAAATGCTAGGTTAAGTAAGGATGAGGTTTTTCAGATACCTACTTCATCCCCGGAGGTGAGGAGGTGAATAGTTCTTACTTTACACGGCTTCTTAATGAGCATCTCACAAAAACGGAGGAAGTTATAGAGCTGAAAGGGATTAGGATGGATTAATGCTGGCGCCACAGTTTCCTCTCAGTGTCCGGCAAGAGCCCACTCTCATGAGCTGGCTGGAGAAGTGGACTTCGGAGAAGGAAGAACCTGAACACCAGCAGAAAGAGCTGGACAAAGTCCGCAGCCCATCATTACCAAGCTGTACCAGAGTGTCTGCGGCACGCCCGGAAGAATGCTGGGTGGGGTGGGGGAGCCCCCAGGTGGGGCAGGCTCCTCCATCCAGTGGAGCTTCTTCAGGACTCACCGCTGAAGGGATGGATTAAGTCAGTTCAACAGTGTTCCACAGGAAAGCATCTGAAGAGCCCCAGTAGAGCAAGTTACAAGGAAGTTTTACATTGAGGCTGCTACAATACGTTACTGGGCACTGTGCACAGGGAGGAGATAAGACCCTCACTCCATAAGCACCGCATCCTAAATGGAAGAAGCTAGGCCTAATAAAACTATTTCAAAGACCCGATTTTAGGAGACCCTTCCCCAGCCACACACTAAAGCCCGCAGACACCAGGGTCCCTCATTTAAAGTGATGCAGTATCAGCCCAAACTCACACACCCCCTCCCAGGTGCTTCACATCATCTCTAGACTAGCAATGCTACCTAATACAATGTAAGCGCCCATGTTGTCGTTATACCATCATGTTTGTGTGTGTGCGGCACAGATGGATTTTTAACAGCATTTTTGACCCTCCACCGAATCCATGGAGACCCACAAACACAGACGGCTGACTGTGCATTTCAAGTTACATTTCTCTACATTCTAGCGCGTTCCACTCACCTGATGAGTTTGTCTGATGTACGGGTCTTCTATCCAAACCTCCGTAACTGTCTCATGTAGATATTCTTTAAAAAGGGACTCGTAACTGAAACCAGTTGCATTCTCTTCGATTTTAATTTGCTTGTGGTACTTTCCATCTATAAAACACAAGCCACAGCTGTGTGACCAGTAACTGCTTTAAAAATTACACCTTCAATCTTTTGTGTGTGAGCAAGCATGCGGGTGTAAGTGTGCCACAGAGTATGTGTGAGGTGGGGGGAGGGTGTCAGACCACAAATTGCGGGAGCTGGTTCTCGCCTTCTGCCATGCAGGGATTGAACTCAGCTCTTTCCATTTGCTGGCAGCTGCTTCTACTCACTGGACCCTCTCACCAGCACCTGTGAACACAGGTGCTACACTGCTCACAGTGATTAATCAGGATGACTTACAATCTTTTAAACTTATTTGCGCAATAGCTATGGCACGCCTACTCTATATCATGCTCGTGGCAAAACGTCTCCTACACATAGGGAAAGAAGACAAAAATACCATTCCAAAGGAGATCCCTGCCTTCACAGAGGCTAGGCAAAGGGAGCACCCAGCTGTTTCTTTTTTTCATTAAAAAATTATATTTTATAATATGTATGACTATCTTGCCTGCACTTATGCATTTGTACCACATACATGCAGTCTTCGTTCTCAGAGGGCACAAGGGAGCCTTTGATTCTCCAGAACCAGGGTTAAATGGTTGTGAGCTGCCGTGTGGGTGCTGGGAACAGAACTCGGGGTCCTCTGCAAGAGCAGCCAGTGCTCTGCTGCGCAAGCACTCCAGCCCACGAAAGGTTACTTGGAAAAGGTTTCTTCAGGAGAGGACTGATGGTACAAAGGTGTGGCTAAGACCCTGTCAGAGTGGGCAGGCAAGCCGTACTCAGTTGCCTCTGCTTTCTCTTCTAGGCTTGCAATTTCCAATAGCTTATACTTCCATGGCTAAGGCGGGGGTTGAACAAAAACAGTACAATGGCCTTTAGAAGCAGTTCTTAGCACTTTAAGAGTGTTTCCTTAAAATGTTGCCCAGGCTGGCCACAAACTCCTTACATAGCTTGAATTCCTTATCCTTTGGCTTCAACCTCCCTAGTGCTGAGACTACAGGTGTGTACCACCACAGCCCGGCTGAATTTTTATTTTTTTAATTTAATTTAATTTATTTCTTGTCTCTTGGTTCTAAGGCTTTTCACTTGCTTGCTTATTTGCCTGTTTCTTCTGGTTCTGGGGCTTGAATCGAGGGCCTTGCACATGCTAAGCATGCTGCACAGTATTTTAAGCAGACTTAAAACACCTCATGCTATGAGAACCAAAGTTCTTATAAGATTGTGCAAAATCAAATCAAAACAAAACAAAACAAAACAAAAAAACCATGTCAGCAGAGTTCCACGTGTGTCTGTGTTTCTGCCAGAAGCAAGTGGGGTTTTGCCATCAAGGAGCCAACTATCACTGAATGAGCGAAAGTGTAAGTGGAAAGTCAGAAGGTGGCCACACCCATCTACACATGTGCTCATGAGCTGGGAACTCATCCAGAGGAACACCTACCTTACCTAGAATCATTAGGAACAGAAAACTTCTGAAAAGCTCTGATTCACAATATCTGAAAAGCCACTGGCATTTTCTTAGCTATTCTAATCACTTTCATCTTTTAAGGAAACACAGACCCAGGATCCATATTCAATATTCTACTACAATATTCTCAAACTGAGGTCCACACATATACTTTACAGTGATCTATGAATAACTGTAAAAATGGCCAAGTTTTCCACAGATGCTCAAAGGATGTCTGAATCCCCATGTTCCAAACTGAAAACCAGACACTGTTAAGAGTAACTTCTGTATGAGAGAGAAGAAAACACAGAGCAAATCTATTAAGCTCCCAGGTACAAGTGGCACAGATCACACATCAACAAGCAAGAGTTTTGAATCCAGGGCCTCAAAGAGTGCCAGACTCTAAGCCTCACCATGAGTCACGGTGAAAAAAAAAAAAAAAGTCAACAAACAAACCACCACCAGGAAAAAGAAGCCTTTTACCTTCTTTTTCTTGATCTAAGTATTTCTTTATATTTTCTGCTCTATCCATGTAGCCAGAGATTTTTGTTCTGAGAGTACATCTTTTAGTGGAATCTTTGGTGCCTATGAATAAAAACAAAAAAACAAAACAGGGAATTTTCTCAAGTTTCAAATTGGCTTTTCTATTTAATCCAGCAATTTGTCAAGTTTTCCACAAATCCCCTACCTTACAACATACTCAAATTCAGCATACTTAAATGCTGGAGGACAATCATTTTCATCCCAAGCACCCCAAACAGCTCAGGTTAGGATCAAAGCTTCAACACTGTGCATCTCTTCCTAAATACCCGTAGGTTGGAAACAATAACATAACTAAAAGATAAAACACCACTTACCAATTATCAGCTTTTCTTTTAGGCCTCCACATTATAGTTAATGCTCAATTTTTTCCCCAGCTACCAAAAAATAAAAATAAAAATAAAAAAAAACAACAATCCAAACAAACAAAAATCCCAGTAAGTCATTTTTCATAATATTTTATCAATAAAGCTCACCCTGCCCTAACCCCCAAACCACATCTGGCTCTCTCCTTCCTTTGACATTAACCGTAGTTTCCTAATTATTTTTTAATTTCATTTTTAAACACCTCATGTGTATTTGTGTACGTGTCGTGTTGGGAACTGAACCGAGAGCCTAACAGATGCTAAGCACACGAGGGATGACTGAGCAAGATCCCCAGGCCCCTGAATTCACTCATATCCAAGATGGCATTAGTAGAGCTGGAAAATTAAACCCTTCCACAAACCTTAGTTGTCTGTTATTTTGAGTTGTCTGCTGTATTCTCATGAGTAAAGTAAATTTCTGCATTTGGGGCAAAAATATCAGAGACACAAAATGCCCTTCTTGGTGGGTTCACGCTTGTGTGTCTTGTTACTGATTATAACATCAATTTTTATCATCTGGCCAAGGACTAGTTTAGATTTTTTTCTAGCCATCATTATACTCCTTCACAGTTAAAACAAACAAACAAACAAACAAACACCCTTTCACCTCTCACTTTAGTATCTGTTGATTCTCCTTGCTGGCAACAAGCAATTCATGCTTACAAAGCAGCGTTTTCCCCACCATCATTTGTTTTTTTAATCTAGACATATACTCACTTATTTACTGATCAGTATTGGCTTGTGGGTATTTCTGTTACCCTGTGGTACGCAATCCAACACCATTGTATTTTATCAGCTTTGGCTCTGATGTGTTTCATGTTGGTCCTTTTGTGCTGTCAACATTGTCTGAGCACTTTTGAATTCTTCCTTACTGTTAGCTTTTGCAAGGTAGTTGTTTTAACACAGGATCACCCTATGTATCCCAGACTGGACTGGAACTACATAGCCTATGCTATTCTCAAACCTGTGATCTCCTTACCTCAGCTGCCTTGGTACTGGGATTACAGACTGTGCCACCGGGCTGGGCCTGGCACACTTCCTTACTTTTGATGCATTTTTCAGAAACCTGTTTCTTGTTATAGAACAGCAGTTTGGGGACCGTCCTACCTTAACTTCTAGGCTCTCTCAGCCAGTCCAGCTAGAAGCTCATGTAGGTTTGCTAACATGCATACTTTTAAAGGCATTTTTTTGTTGTTGTTTCTACCTGACTGCATGTGCACTTTAAAACCCAAGTTATGATGATAACTTTGACCTAGTAAAGTTCATTCCAGCCTTCTCCCTTTCATTACCTTTAACTTCCTTGACTACGTAAAAATATTTTCTTCACTTAATTGTAGGGTACACATAAGGAAGTGTCAGGATTCCTACCCCATACCAGAGTGAGAAACAAATTTACCAACTAGCATACAATTCTTGCATTAGTGGAGATGTATTTTCCCTCTTTCTTCCTATTTTTTCTTCCCTTGAAAAAGAATCTCATGGATCCCAGAGAGGCTTCAGATTAGACTAGCATCCAAGAATGACCTTGAACTTCTGATCTCCCTGCCTCACCTCCCAAGTGCTGCGATTATAGATATGCAACACCACACCATGCCCAGTTTTATAGAGATTCACTTTGATTCCTGAGAATCAAATCTAAGCTTCTGAATAGCTAGAAAAGCTGAAGCCAACTGAGCTCTATCCCCAGACCAGTTGCCTTCTCCCCATCCTTCTGCATTTCGACTGAGGAGCTCAGAATATTGTCAGTCTGTTGTTTTATTGTTTTAATAAATCAACATGATGTATCTATCAAATGCCTTCTACATCAGTATGTTTATGCCTTTAGAACAGTGATATATATATATGATCATATGGGAAAGGGAGAGACAGTTTCTTTAGTGGTGTAGTTACTGGTAAAATGCACATGTTCCTGTAAACAAACTTCCACCCAATGAACCTCACTGGGACATAGTTGCGGTGAGGGCAGGAAGGAGAGAGAGAGGGAGGAGGAAAATCATGTCGCAAACTGAGAAAAACAAAAAAATTCATTCAAACGCAAGACCTATCAAGGCTTGTATCTTATATTTGGTTATGCCCTTTACGTTTTAGAATAGTGACTTATGCGCCTTCGTGATAATATCAGTCTATTGTAAAGGCCGCCACCTCTGCTGTCCTGCAGAATATGAGAATATACCTTCTGATTTGGAATGTTTCCTGGTAGTTAAAAAGTTTCGTTTTCTCAAGGATCGCTCAGTCCCAGACAGAGCGGAAACCGAAACCAGCTCACCTTTCAGAACCTGCAGGAGCATGTCAATCCCCTCCTGGTAACACACCAGAGCCTGCTGGTACCGGGACTCTGCATCCAGCTCCACGGCCCGCTTTAGCACCGCCACCGCGGCGGTGCTGTCGGAATCCGGCCCCAGGCTGGACTTAGCCATCGCTGCCACAACTCCGGGCTCCGCAGCCTCTCCCAGGGGCTGACCCCCTGCGCGTCCAGGAAGCGCCCATGTGACACCACTGCGCCTGCGCCATCTTCTACGGCGCTTTGTGAATGGGAGCCACAGAGCGGGAGCGAAAAATATCCCTCTCCAGGAACCAAAGAACTGTACGCCCTGTGACGGCAACGGCGAGCTTTGAGTGCCGCACTGAGTCCTCCCGCCTCCGTTCCGCTCCTTCCGGCTGCAGGACGTTCAGACTGGATACGGCGGTCCCTGGTGAGTGCGCCCGCGGGCGCTGAGGCGTAGTGGTTTTTCACGTGGACTCCCTCTGCAGATGCTGACCGATTTCCTTTTCCATGCCGAGTCGGAGGTCCCCGCGATCCAAAGCAGCCGGTTGTCACTTTATTCACGGGTTGCCTCGCCCTCTGAGAGTGTTAACTTTTGTAGATCTAGCCGTCCAAGGCCATTCGCTTGGCAGTGTCTGTAGCTTTTCGGTGCTTCTTTGTTTTATGTGAGACAGGGTTTCTCCGTATAGCCTTGGCTGCCCTGAACGCACTTTGTAGACCAACCTGGCCTTGAACTCACAAAAATCCACCCTCCTCAGCCTCCCAGAGTTACAGGCGTGCGTCACCGCATCCAGCTTCAGCGCTTTATTTTGTTTTAAAGAAGGCAAAACTTACTTAATTTTAAGAATACAGTGTTTTGGAGTTGCTGTTTACTAAAGACCATGATTTTGCAGGCTGCTTTGATCCTCACCAATCCAAGCTGCTGCTTTTGTGGCTAAGAGGCCTTTATGACGGCTGCCGACTACTTTTAGGCTCTGAGAATTCAGAGAAGAGAGACATTTGTTGATTTCAGAGATCTCGGTTGATTGCACGGTAAATTCTGTGTTCTGCATTTTCAGGAATGTCCACTCCCCGCTAGAGATATATACCTTGTCTCTTTAGAAAGAGAAAGAAATTAAAGAGCCACTTAAGAGCTGGTATTATAGTTTGGGGGTAAAGTTCCAATCATATTGTACAAAGCAAACCAAACAAACTCCAAAACAAAAAATTAAGAACAAAATGTTGGGGGTGAAGGGGAAAGAAAAATGGTTTTGACCACCTTCAAATTTTTCTGTGTCTACACGTATATTAACAGGCTAGAAAATGGAAATAGGTTGTGTTATCTCTTGATAAATAGCAAATGGCACTTCTGAGCGTGGTGTGTGTGTGTGTTGGGGGTGTTTTGCCTGTCGTATTTGTGCACCATGTGCAGGCAGTGTCCAAGCAGGCCAGAAGACCGTCAGGTGCCCTGGAACTGGAGTTACAGATATTTGTGAACCGCCCTGTGGTCACAGGGAATCAAATGTGGGTCCTCTGGAAGAGCAGCCAGTGCTCTTAAGTGCTGAGCCATGTCTCCAGCTCCGTTTTTTTGTTTGTTTTGTTTGTTGTCACAGTACAGAGGAAAGCTGTTGTACAGTAGATGGCAGTATAATTGCTTCCAGGTCCAAAAGTTATTTATCTGCTTTATTGAAACATAAATTTTTGAAGCTGGAGCTGCAGTTCAGAGCACTTATGTTGTGTATGTGAAGCTCTAGGTTCAGTCCCCAGTACCTACCACCCTCCTCTCCCACAAAAAACAAAAACAAACAAATAAAGAGCAGTTAGTTTTGATGGTGACATCTGCTTATAGCTGAAAATTAAACTTAGGCAGAAGTTTAGAGTGCAGAAGCTACTTTGAGAGGCGCGTCTGTGAACAGATCCAAAACAAAATAGAAAGTCCCCGTCTCCTGCACGGTGCTGTGTTTAGAATGGAGATGGCCTCTAAATGGTAAAGTAGCAAATTACAGTAGAACACAGTATTCAGGTGCGGTAGGGGCTGGGAGCGCTAGCAGCAGTGTGACTGAAGATGTCAAGCAGTTTGGTTGGGGGGTAGACCTTATTCTTCTGATAATGCTGAAACTGAAACAGTGTGAGGAAGAGCTTGTTGATACAGTAAGGTTTGAGACAAAAATTGAAAAACGGAAGCCAGGCCAGGGTCATTCCAGCTAGTCAGAGGGAAGAAGCTTTCCAGCATGGCTGGTTACAGGCCCTGCCGGAAGGTGGGCTACTCTGTGAAGAAGCAGGAAGGCAGCAGGAGATGGGGATGGGGCGGAGAAGGTTGGCAGTGAGGTGCAATGGCTTGGCAGGTGAGGATTAAGGAGTCTGATTTCTAACTTGGTTAACTGGAGAGACACTGAAGATGGTGCTGGATGTCGAACCCAGGTAGACCAGGCAGACATTCTACCCCGGAACATTCCTAGTCCTGGCTTTTTTTTTTTTTTAATGAATGAACTTTACTTTTAGCCAGTTTCAGGTTTGAAGAGAAGAGGTGAAGTTTAGTGTGGGGTTCCTATACCTTCCATGCTCAGGTTCCCCTTTTAAATCAGTTAGTGTAGGGTGCTCGTTGCAACTGCCGAACCAAATTCATACAACATTAACTTCGTTTGCCTATTCAGACAGATTTCTTTAGTTTTGCTGGTGTCCTGGTGTCCTTTTATATCCTAATCAGACACCAGTGTGGTGTAGATTAGGCATGATGATCATAGTTCTTGGGTTCCTCCGGGCCAGTGTCTCAGGCTTAGCGTCTGTGGTGACCTTAACAGTTTTGAGAAGTGAGGTGTTTGAAATGGACTGACGAAGTGTTCCCCACACTGTCTTGGTCAGGGTTGATACTGCTATGATGGGACGCTGTGACCAAAAGAAAGCAAGTTGGGGAGGACAGGGCTCATGTAGCACATAAACTTGGGCACGGAAGGGGTCAGGGCAGAAACTCAGCAGGGCTTCGGGCAAGTTGACATGAAATTAGCCAGCACGCACCAAGACCCTCACTAAGCGGTGCTTTTCCTCTTAAGTGGTTTATGTATGGCTAGGCTTTGAGGTGGAAGGCAGCGAATTACATGGTACTGTGTCAAGTGTAAGTCCTATCAACATGTTTTATTTTGTGATGGTTCCCACTATGTAGCTCTGGCTGGGATGCTGTCTGCTTTTATCACCATTGATCACCTGGTGGACGTAGTGTTTGTCAGTTTGTTCTCTGTAAAGGTGATTCTCCCCTTTTCTGTACCGCACTCCTGGGGAGCAGTCATTTATTGTAGCTCACACGGAAGTGATGAATACTCTTCTCTGCCTCCCTGAGGGGAAGCAAGTAGCCCTGTAAAAGAACAGAATTCTACAGAGAGCTCTATTTCTCTTTCCAGTTTATTTACGTATGTATGTAAGTGTGGACTTTCTCATACTTGTTCGGTTACAATTATAAGCTGATATTTTGTTATGTATTTGTTGGAATTGCTCTGGTTTGGCAATTGGGAGTTCTTTCAGTTATGTCTATGTCCCTTTATTATAGTTCCTTTCTGATTCTTCAGGTTGCAGCAGACTGTCAGCTGTTTCTTAAAGGAATGTAGCCATACTTTTTATGTCTATATTTTATTTGAGTTTCTTATGCCCCTACCTCCTTTCTCCACCCCAACCCCTCCAACACCCCAACACCAGGTGGAAGAGAAAGAAGGTTAGTGGGGAGAGAGGGAGCAGCTCTCTTTGGCTACTTTTGGCTGGTTAGGGTCATTGGGTTCCTTGGGGTGTGTCCAGTCTTCTTTTCAGGATATCTCTGACTTCTTCTCATCAGACTGCATCAACAGCACCCAGGAGCAGCAGGGGGGTGCTGCAGCAGCCTTCTTTCAAGCCCCCAACTCTGTCTTTCCTGGCATTTATTTCCTCTCTAGAGTTCTCAGAATTAAACTATCAGCAGCCTGCAAAGAGCTCCTCTCAGAGCCCGCATGAGGCAAATGGTCTGCTGCTGTGGACACTCTGAAGTAGCCCCATATCCCATACCTGAGACTAAAACAAAAACATGTTTAACAATCATAACTGAGTTTTAAAGACACCACAACTTCTACTACAAAGGAGCCCTAATGGTTCCTTTGAAGAGAGTGCTATTATAGCCCCTATCTGAGCACAGGGTGAGTTTGTTGCTGCTGGGTGTAAGTGATTTAGTTCCTTTCAGCAGAGTGAGCCCGTGTGCACATACATGCAGGGGTAGGCATTGGGGCAGCCCGGCAGTTGACTGGGTAAGAAGCCGTCGAGGGGAATGAGGCCGGGGAATCTTACAGCTCTGAGGGGCTATCAGTCAGTGCTTCTTTTGATTCAGGTTTCACAGAGCAAAGACAGACTAGTGATTGTTCAAGAAGTACAGATTATATCATTTTGTCTTCAGACATACGTTTGATTTTTCATTACATGTCCAGAGTTCCAAGTTCAGGCACAGTCACAAAAATAAAAGTGACAGCCAGACATGGTGTCACACTCCTGTAATCCTAGCACTCAGGGAGGCAGAGGCAGGCTGATCTCTGTGAGTCCAAGGCCTGTATAGTCAACAGAGTTGAGTTCCAGCACAGCCAAGGCTACACAGAGAGACCCTGTCTTGAAAACAAAAACAATGAACAAATAAAACAGATTTTATTTTTCTTATAGCCCTATAGCTCCAATTCAAAGAATCTAAAGAATGTTTCCACCAAAGCAAACACATTTGCTGTGTGATAGCCTGCTTTTAGGCTGGCAGTATTTGCAGTTTTATAGCATTCCAGACAAATAGAAAACATCTGAACTGGTCTTTATTTTTTTTTTTATGAATAGCAAATATTAATACTTAGCTCCTTTTAATTATATCCTTTCATTATCTATGCTATTAAGTAGGGAAAGTTATTTTAATCAATCTATATTACTTGCTGAGTTCTATTCCTCCAGGGGCATACCCTGTACAGTCCTCTATCTTTAAACTACATTTTTCAGAGTTTTAAATGTATTGTAAAAAAAAAAAAAAAAAGGCCTTAATCTGTTGTCAATTCTCCTGGCCAGTCAGAGTGTGTCAACTGTCTCTACCTTTACCCTGTTCCAACTGTACTGTTTGAATTTGGGTAGGGGTTGGTATCCCAAGAGGATTTCTGGAGTCATGGCCTCATTTAGAAATTCCTAACTTAGTGCTTATCAGAGTCGCCAAGGCACAACGAAGACTTCCAAGTAGGTCCAGATAAAGTTTATTTCCCCAAACTCAGAAGGGATAGCAAGTTTAGGACTGTCATAAAAAGACTCAGACATAATTTTCTCAGGAAAAGACATAAAATGAGCCATAATGCAGAAAGTGCCCAAAAATGCAACACGCAGAGACCAAAACTTAAAAGTGAGAGACAGAGTGACAACGATCACAGCATTTGGCTCAGCTTTGCTGGAACAGTGTCAAACAGCTATGGTGGCTTCACGACATTCACTGTTTTCAGTGGGTATAGCTGTGCCACGTCTCTGTAATATATCCGTGTGCATCAGTGGCTGTGGGAAGCTAAACACAGCCAGCTTCAATGCGTTATACTGGGACTAGACCAGCCTGCCTGCCTTTTTCTTTTTTGAAGAGTAACTTTCCTCTTCAGCAATGATCTGGCCTTTTCAAAGATTTTAAGCAGAGAGATGACTCTCTTCTGTGACAGACAAAACAAACAAGCGACAACAACAAGATCAGAGCGGTAGTAGAAAGCAGGGACTTTGCTGAATCCACACTGAATGAGTTGGATTTACAAATGTTGCGTAACGTGGGAAAACTGTGAGAAAGTAGCTTGGCATTTAATTAATTTAGCTGCTTGGCAGTTTTTCTGAGGTTCAGCTCTTCTCAGGTGACATCTTGGATGATTCTTTCAACTGTTACTTCATCGATATCACAAAAAAAGGGTTATAGACCTTATGAGCTAGAATCTGGTCAGGATGAAGTATAGCACTTACCCTTTCTAGGGGCGTGGAGCCAATATTTCTGACGTTATGTAAAATAGCTTACTTGTAAGATAGTTAGGAGGAAAATGGTTCACGTGAGTGTCTGCCCAAAGTGCACGTCCAGTTCATGAACCTCATCCGTCTGCTCTCATTGTGCATTAAGTTATTCCTGTTTCATGCCTATCTGAATAAATATAACTTCTTGAGGTTACAGAAGCAAAACAGAAGAACCATTTTTAAAAATACAAATAGGTAAGAAAGTGACCTCTGTGTGTGTGCGCTGTGCATAGTGGTGTGTGCGCATGTGCACACATGTATGTGGGAGCCAGAGACACCTTCCTTAGGCACTCCTCCATCTTATCTTTGAGACGGGCCTCACAGCCTGGAGCTTTCCAATTTAGGTAGGCCATCTGTCCAGCCTGCTCCGTGAACTTGCCTTTCCACTCCAGTGTTGGGGCTGTAGACTCAGGCTACCTTTCCTGGCTTTTCTGTGGGTCCTGGCTGTTTGAACTCTGTTCCCATGCTTGCACAAAAGTACCTTAGCAACCGAGCCTCTCTTCAGCCCCAAATGCTCATCTCTTTTTGTAAAAAAAAAAAAAGAAAGGAAAAATGTTAGTGATTTATCAAAAATGCATTGGACTGCTAGCTAGGAGAATTGGGTTGGAGTACATATACCTTTTTTTTTTTTTTTTTTCTGGTTTGCACCATGTAATCCAGGATGGCCTGGAACTCGGTCTTTCTGCCCCACCTCCCCAGCTGTAGAGTTACAGGCATGTGTCACCAGTGCCCATCTGTGCATAGTCTCTTAATGGCTGGATATCTGGGGTAAATGATGGCTCTGGAAGTCATTTTCCTCAACTGTGAAATAAAAGGGTATTTGGTTCTGATTCTGAGAGGTGGAATTTCTTCAGTCCTGTCTAGTTTCACATTTTTTGTGATTTCTCTGTCAAAGAAAAATGACCCAAATACTTTTTATACTCTTGACAAGTTTTGGTGATAGAAACCCCCATTCCTCAGTTTTGTGGAATGAATGTAGACTCTAAGCTCACTAGATAAAAATAGGATTGCTTAATGTATAATGACTGCCTATGGTCTTACCACTACAGAGGGGGGAATCTGCCCATTTGTAATGTATTTGACAGCAATCTGTTTCTTACTTCTTAGCCTCTGAAGAGAAGAATTGCTACACTATGGCTGGGGTTTTGCGCTCGGTATTTCAGAGGCCTCCAGACAGACTACAGGTAAGTTTTTTGTTTCTCATATAGCTAGGGCTGACCTCAAACTCACTGTGTAGCTGAGGGTAACCTTGAACCTGCCTCCACATCCCCAGTGCCCAGTTTCATGCTGGGAACTCAGAGCTTCATGCATGCCAGGCAAGCACTGTGCCAGCTGAGCTACATCCTTAGCCCAGGAGGTTGTTTTTTGTTGTTGTTTTTCCTCTCATTTTGATTACAAAACACAAAAGTAAGTTAGCCTTTTTTAAAGCTTCTTTTTATATAAGTTAATTGGTTTATGTTTGTTCTGTTTGTCTTGTGCTAGAGCTCAGAGCCTTGCAAACACAGGCCACACATTCTGCTTGAGCTACACCCCAGCCCTTGTATATTTCTGTATTATATGCTATTTTTCCTTAAGGATTTTCTACCACCAACCATCTTTTCCTGTAGGTCAGGCTGATTAAAAAGCTAATGCTGAGTCCCTTAGTCTCTTCTAATGTTACAGTTTTATGGGAAACCCTTCAATTATGAAAAGAGTACATCTTCAATCACAGGAGGTGAGGTAAACATAGAAAAAGCAGAAGCTAAGCCATCTCCTGAAGATCAGAGCTATGTTGGCATTTCCCTCCTAGCGGTTAGAGAGCACAGTGGGGTAAGCAATGCACACATGGAGGCCAGACTGGGCACAGACCCAGACATAGACTGGTTGCCGGTACAGACCAGCTCCTGGCTGTAGGGCTGGGACTGTCAGCTACTTCTAGTTAGCTTATGAATTCAGTAGGATTTCCTTTTTGGTACTTTGGGAACTTATCCCCTGGGAGGTTGTGTGTTTCTAAGCCACTGAAGTTGGATTAGAAGCCCAGGATCTCTGGCATATGAAAGGTCAGGCTCCCTCTCTTACACCATCCAGACTTCCTCTAGCTGGTGGGGTCAGCTCTGTAGTTCAGGGAAGGCTAGAAGAGAAAGGCTGTGTGGAAGGCCGTGGTGAGTTTCTATTTCCAACAGCAAGAGTGAAGACGAGGTGTGAGCTGCGCCTGATGGACTGTTAGGAAGAGCTCACTGTGGTTTTGTGTGTTTGATGCTTTTGAGAGAGTGTCATACCCTGTAGGCCGGCCCCAAACTTGAAGCACTCTTCTTACCTCAGCCTCTCAAGTGCTGGGATTACAGGTGTGAGCCACAACTCCTGCCTCATTTCAGATTTCTTTTATAGAATTTTGTTGAAGGTAAATTATTGCATGCCGCCCCATATAAAAATTGCTAAACCATGGCCCTCCAGGGCAGGTTCAGGGGTCATGACTTACCTTATAAATAAATTTTTTGAAACAGCCACTCCCATTTGTTTGCATAGCACCTGCTACTATGGTCATCCTGTGTTGGCAGAGGTGAGTCTTGGCAGTAGAGACTGAGTAGCCCCAGAAGTGGAAGTATTTGCCTCCGGTCACTTGGAGAAGGAAGTTGTCAACCACTGGCCTGGAAGTCTACATGTGTGTGCTTTTTGCTTTGCCAGCTATTAGTGCATAAATGAGATGTGTCTATTCAGTGAGGAAGCCGAGTTAAACATGGGCTATCGTAGATTAACGTCAGAGCAGAGCAGACATTTGTCCTCTGATGTCTGATAGCTTCGGATTTTCACACTAGAAAGAGTTCCAAATAACAAATGTTTTCTGCTTCAGACTGTGAAAAAAGGTATGGAATCTCTCATTGGTACAGATTGGATTCGTCACAAATTTACCAGATCAAGAATCCCAGATAAAGTAAGACCTGTTTCTTTTTAAAGATACCAGTTTTACAAATTGCAAGTTATTTGCAAATTCTTTGCAGTGTGTGTATGTGTTACATTGTGTCTGTTTGCTTGCACAGGTGTGTGTGCAGATGCCCAGGTTTTGTGTGGGGAGGTCTAAAAGACAGTTCTGTGGAGTCAGCTCTCCTAACGTCATGTGGCTCCTGGAGAATGGAGCTCAAGTCAGACAGGGCAGCAAGCACACACCCCCGGTGCTGGCTCAGCCTGCCAGTGCGATTCTTCTGCTGGGTTGCATGGGCACGCAGACGCAGTATAGACTGACAGTGCAGGATGGGGGCTGCTCTGCTCCTCGTCCCGCCAGCTTTCAGAGGGCTGGGCTCTTATACTTCTGGGTCGGTGTGTCCCTGCTATGGCTTTCCCTGTATATGTTGTGGTTTTTATTGTCCTGAGAAAACAGTGAAGCCTCCTTTTGAGGCCATCAGTGTGTGACTTCATTTTCACTTACTGTGTCAACTGTTGGTGCTTCAATCTCTGAGTTTTGTTTTATTCGTTGTTTGTTGATTTGTTGGTTTGTTGATTTGTTTTTAATTTTAGATAACATGGACTATGAGTGCCATTAATTTTTTTTTGTTTTGTTTTGTGTTGTTTTCATTTTGTTTGGGTTTTACTTGCTTTTTAATTAATTAAAATTTATTCTGTTAAACAGTTTTATTTTACAAAAGAAAATGATCAGAAAGTATGGAGGCCTCCTCTCTCCAACACACTCCATTTTCCCTGATAGTTGACATTCTGCACTGATACAGAGCAGCTGTTAAAATAGATGACACAGCACAGACGTGAACTGCAGCCACTGTTTACACACGAGCCATCTTCATGCTGTGTCTCCCTGTGGTCACTATTGCAGTGTCACATAGAAGCTTGCACTGCCCTAAATGTCACACGTGTCCCTCCTGTTAATCCCCACCCAGAACTTCTAAACCCCATCGACCCGTGACTTTTTACGCACTTTCTAGTTTTACCTTTCCCAGAATCTCCCATAGTTAGAATCATACAGTCTGTACATGAGGTTCTTCCAAAACTTTTCATGGCTGAGTCATTTCTTTACTCTTACGGCTGAGTAGCCGCCCTAGGGGCTTATACGGTTTCTGTGTTCACTACTGAAGGGCGTCCTGCTTGCTTCCAGTTTGGGGCAAAAGCAATAGTAATAATAAAGTAATGATAAGCTATACAAGAACTGTGTACTTGGTGTGGCTGTCGGGTGTTGGTGTGTTGTGTGGATATCTGGGAGCACAGTTGCATAGTAAAGAGCATTTAACCTTATCAGGCCTGCTGGAGAGGTGGTTTTGTTGGAGGGGAATGTTTCTTGCATATGTTTCCTCCTACTGTATTTTTATTTTATGTTTAGATCTTTAAATTTTATTTTCTACGTATAACTGCTTTGGCTGCCTCTATGTATGTGTGTCATGTGAGGGCCTGGTGCCTGTGGAGGGCAGAGGACAGCAGCAGACCCTGGGAGCCAGCCTGTGGGTGCCTGTGAGCACCATGTGGGTGCGAGGAACCGAACCCCAGTCCTCCACACAGCAGCAGTCACTCCTAAGAGATGGTGCGGAGCCACCTCTCTCCAGCACTCCTTTATGTGATAAAATATATAGGATAAAATTTCTGCCTAACCCTCAACTTCAGGTTTTGCATTCTTCAGCTCTGGGGAGATTTGTTTATGGGAACTGTGCTGCCTGAGTCCCATTCTGAAAACCTAGAGTCTGCGATGCTCTGCATTCTCCTGCTGTTAAATCCTTCATGTCATCTAGTTGCTCCTGCTCTTTTCAAAAGCTAAACAAACAAAACCTTCACCTATTTCTTCTTAAAGTCTGTAATTCTTAGACTGTCTGAACTATTCACTCTGAGGTTGAGGACTACATACAGATTAGGAAGGGGATCACTATGTGATTTTTATATGTTTGTGTGTGTCCATTTTTTTTAAGGAAAAGAAAATAGGCAATATATAAAAACTGTAAGTTGGAGGAGTTACCATTTCTAATTTTCCCTTTCTAGGTGTTTCAGCCTAGACCTGAGGATCATGAAAAATATGGAGGGGATCCCCAGAACCCTCATAAACTGCATATTGTTACGAGAATAAAAAGTACGAAAAGGCGTCCATACTGGGAGAAAGACACGATCAAGATGCTCGGGTTACAGAAGGTATGTAGTGGCGGTTCTGACAGTCATGCCGAGTCCCAGCTGCTGCAGTCTCAGGCCACACACTGTGTGTTGTTGCTTCTTATGTTTCAGTGTGTTGCTTAAAGTGGCCTAGTTAGGAGTTAGCTGAGAGAGGGTGCCCCTTCAGTTCAGTGTTTTCCTGAAATGGCGCCACTGCCTGGTCTGTGACGCTGCTCCTTGTTCACAGGCGCACAGCCCTCAGATTCACAAGAACATCCCCTCAGTGAATGCAAAGCTGAAGGTGGTTAAACACTTGATACGGATCCAGCCCCTGAAGCTGCCGCAGGGACTCCCCACGGAAGAGAACATGTCGAGCACCTGCCTCAAGAGCACTGGGGAGCTGGTCATGCACTGGCGTCTGATGCCTGTGGAACAGGAGACCAAGTCCTGAGGCCACACACTGGAGAGAAAGTGCAGGTACTGAGGAAACCGGTCTCCTTAAAGAGTGTGACGATCCCGTCGACTCCATTGACAAAAGCTGATGTGTGAGGCTCTCCTTCCTGTCCATGTGGACCTTGCGAGTTCTGATGTTATTACGTGGTTAAGTTCTCTCCCTTTGTCCCCTAAGAATTTTACTCCATCGTGGTCAAGAGTGGCATTGTTTGAACATCTGACTTTAGGCCCTAGCACTTTAACAATTGTCATTATCTTTTTTTTTTTTTTTTTTTTTTTTTTTGAGAAACTGCTTTCTTGGGGACTGGAGAGATGGCTCAGAGGTTAAAAGCACTGACTGTTCTTCCAAAGATTCTGAGTTCAATTTCCAGCAACCACATGGTGGCTCCCAAACATCATACAATGAGATCCGGTGACCTCTTCTGGCCTGCAGGCACACGTGCAGGCAGAACACTGTATACATAATAAATAAATCTTGAAAGAAAGATAGGAACTACTTTCTTACTGAATTCTCCAAATGTGAAAGGCTGTGTGGTAGTCAGTCCTGTGTTGCTGTAACAGAGTACCCAAGGCTGGGCAGCTTCTAGGGAAAGGGAGTTTATTTTGGTTCAAAGCACCGGAAAGTCCAGCTAGGCAGACACCTCATCAGGACCTCCTGCAGGATGGTAGCATGATAGGTGACATCACACAGTTTTTATGTCAGTGGTAGAAGTGATCACAAGCAAGGTAGGGAAAAGAACCAGGTGTGGTGCACACACCTTTAACCAGCACTCGGGAGGCAGAGGCAGATGGATCTCCTAGGAGTTGAAGGCAGCCTGGTCTACATACTGAGTTCTAGGCCAGCCAAGACTGTAGTGAGACCCTGTCTCAAACCAAACCCGAGAGAGCGGTTCTGGCCTCTGTAAGGGTCTCCATTTGCTGCAGAGAGAAGCTTCTTTGACTGTGAGTGCTACACTTCCCTATGGGTAGGGATAAGGGTTTGAATGCAGTTAGGAATTACAGTGCTCAAGTAATGTGGCAGGAGAAGGTGCTCTGAGACCTAGGCCCTCGCCATGGGTAGCTGCTTAGGTAATACCAGGCATGATTCTCCGAGTCCAGTGAGGAGATAACTGACTGTGGGAGTAAGTCCGCAGCACAACTCCTGCACATGAGGCTCAGACAACATTTTGGAAGTGGGGGCAGAAAGGTTGTGAGAGCCAGAGGACAAAAAAGTTTGCTATGAAATTTTGTCTCTTAGAAATGATAGGGAAGGGCTGGAGAGACGGCTCAGAGGTTAAGAGCACTGGCTGCTCTTCCAGAGTCCTGAGTTCAATTCCCAGCACCGACGTGGTGGCTCATAACCGTCTACAGTGAGATCTGGTGCTCAGGCACACCTGCAGGCAGAATACTGTAAAAATAATAAATAAATCTTTTTAAAAAAGAAAGAAATGATAGATAAGCTACACCCACAATACCTACGCAATGTGTGGCTGTCCAAACAATACCTGGACAATAATACCAGGCAAGAGAGCAAGATGCATCCAGCCGCATGAAACTCAGGGTGCAGCTCCAGCACCACCCTCTGCCTTACGCCCGTGACAGGAACAGGGGTGCGTGTTTTTGAATTACAGGTGTAATTTAGCTGGAACTGTATTATCGCACTCTGTCAAGATAAAACATTCACTTCTGTGTGAGTTTTTCCTGCTGGAGCAAGGGCTTTAGCAGTTTCTCAACAGGCCATTCTGTTCTAAGCTCCCAAATGTAGTGTTTGAATTTATAATGATCCTTGATGTCAGTAGTTGAGCTTGCATGCCTGTGATCCCAGCACTCTGGGAGGCAGAGGCAGGTGCATCTCTGTGAGTTCAAGGTCAGCTTGATTTACAAAGTGAGTTCAGGACAGCCAGGGCTACTCAGAGAAAACCTATCTTGAAAAACCAAAACCGGAACAAAATAAAAAAGAAAAGAAAATTGGGGCAACAGATACAGCTCAGTAAAGGGCTTGCTCTGGGACCTGGGTTTGTGCCTAAGAAACCATGTTTAAAACTGTTTTAATCATGCCAGCACTCCCTCAATCATTCCAGCACCAAAGAGGCAGAGAAAGGGGAATCCATGGCCTAGCCTACTCGCCAAGTCCTTGTCCAAGAGAGACCCTGTCTCAAGAAAAAATAAAGGGGGTCTGGAGAGATGGCTTAGTGGTTAACAGTACTGACTGCTCTTCCAGAGGACCAGAGTTCAATTCCCAGCACCCATATGGCAGCCATAAAATCATGTCCATTGCTACTTCATAACTGCAGTTTTGCTGCTGTTGTGAATTGTAATGTAAACATCTGTGTTTTCTGATGGTCTTAGGTGACCCCTGTAAAAAGGGTCATTCAACTCCAAGGGGGTCACAACCCACGGGTTGAAAACCGCTGATCTCAGGCGCTGTAATAAATAGTTCCTGCTACTACTGTCAGGGTCTCAGAGTTAGGACTGAGCAGGGATCTGCTTCCAGACTCGAGCTTGTTGGCAGAATTCACATCTTTGTGATCATGGAACTGACAGAACGTCGCCTCTTCAAGACCAGCACTGGGGGACACTAGCAACACAGGCACCATGGAAGGCAATCCCATGAAAGGTAATCCCGCACAACCTGTCATCCTGGTCACATTCTACTGGCCAGAAGCAGACCACAGGTCTTGTCCCCTCTCAGGGAAGAGGGCCGTCACAGGTGAGGTTTGGACGAGGCGGGAGCTATGGCCCCTCACAATCTGCCAGCTGGAACCAGTCCGCCCTGTGTGTACCTCCCGGGCTCTGGGTGGCACACCCCTCAGACTGTGGGTTCCTCCATTTCATGTGGTCTCAAAACCCGTAAGGACTGGTTCCTTAGACCTGACTTCGTGTCTCTAAGAATTGCTTTATTTAGATTTGTGGGCTTTGGTCTGCATGTATCTGGCCAGAGGTTTGGTCTGGCCTCTGGTGACCATCTGACCATTTTCAAATAGAGTCAGATATAGAACACTGGTCACTGAATAAAGTTTCCTCTTAAAATGGCAATCAGCAAACAGAACTGATTTGCGTATTTCTAATTTTAGTTCATTGCAATTATTAAGATAGGAAATATGTGATCTTAGGCACTAAATCTTTATATTCCGTTTGCTAGTTTCCTTGTATGGAAAAAAAATTAGTTGATAAAAATTATTATACTAAGTATAGTAATTACAGAGACGTAGAAATGGGTGTGATTTTCATAGGATCATGTATGATAGTGCGTGCCTGTAATCCTAGCACTGGGGAGGTTGAGGCCAGCTTGGGCTGCATAGCAAGAACATTAAAAAAAAAAAAAAGGCACTTATTCAGATGGTATATGAAAGAAGTATACAAACGAGGCTTTATCAGTGCAAAGTACCCAGGTCAGGAAGGTATGAGGGGGCAGAGCTGCGGGCCTCTTGGCTGTTGGGAATGAATGGTGGAAGAGGGAGGGGCTGGGACCTGACAGGCTTCCAGGCTGTGTCCTCCTCAGCTAGAAGACCTCTCTTAAAGCCCCATCTCTCAAAGCTTCCACCGCCTCCTCCTCTTGTTGCCAAGTTGGGACCAAGGGCTTAACATCTCAGCTTTCAGGGGACAACTCTAGAACCAAGCTGTAGCGGTTCTGAAGTGAAAAGTGAAAAGGAAACTTTACAGTGAGAAACCTGACCCATAATCAATATCTCTACAAGAAACACAGGCCACAAATATAAAGAAAATTGAGATGGCTGAAGACACAGGACAGTTTAATGGTGCTGTATGTGGGGTTACCATCTTAGGCATTGTTCTCAGTAAATTCCTGGGGACTGGCTGCTGGGCTCCAGGCGGGAGGAGGATGGAGATAGTTCTAGTGTGTCTCATAGATTCTGCCGAAGCTTGGCACAGGAACCAGGGGTCACAACAGACTTGTGCAGTCTTGCCAGATTATTTCTAACATGTTATTCAGTCACATGGAAACAAGAAGCGCTGAAGCGCTGTTCCCTGCCTTGTGACACAGACAGTGTCGGTGCCTTCCCTGTCCCTGAGCCTCTCAGAATTCTCACTTGGTCTCCCTGTTTGTGCCTACAGCTTCTCCTGGAGGTTCAGACAAGGGTTCTTTTGTTTCAGCAGATTGGACTAGCAAGAAACTGGACTCTCTCCCTTCAGGCAGGTACCTCAACTAATGGCTTCCGGAGGTGCGTGGTCTCCGGTCCCATGCCTGTGTCCTGCGGCGAGTGCTCTGCACAGCTGCTCACTGCCCTTCTGCAAGGTTGAGTCCCCTTGCGCACTAGGATGACGGCCTCCACTGTTCACTCATTCCGTTTCGCTGCGCCACTTTCTAACGGTGTTTTCTGTGCCCCCTCCCCCCATGTAAACAACTTGCACCCACATTATTGTCACAGACCTGGTTCTGAGGGAAACAAACCAAGACACCTTTACTATGTGGCCTCCCATCGGACCTCTCTTGTGTCAGTCAGAGTGAGAACCCTGGGGAATAGGTTCAGGGAGTAAGCCAGTGAGCCACCTCCCATTTTACTTGAAGGTTATCGGCCCCACATGTTAACTATCTTGGCAATGGTGGCATCAAAGGGGCTGGTGCTGGGTGAGATTAATGCTGCCGGGGTAAAGGCCAAAAGAGATCATCCCTGAACTGCACAGCCATCTGAGGAACATCTCAGATGGACACATGCAGGGACCAGAGCAGTGGTTCAAAAGCTGGTAGAGCTTGCACCTTGTCAAGTCCTAAGAGATGGTTGCAGGCATGGTGGCCCACTTATAATACCAGAAGCTGAGGCAGGGGGATTTCTGTGAGTTTGAGGACAGCTTGGGATATAGAGACCTTTTCTCAAAAACAGTGATTCCTAGCTCTGATCTGGCCCCTTCAGGCTGAGTTGAGTGGTCCTTGGGTAGAGAACAGTTTGCCTGCCTCTTTCCAAAGTGAATAAAGGAAAGATGGTAAAATTTTGGTTCCATCTCAGAGAAGTAACAGGCAGGAAAGGCCCACCAAATACCTGAAGAAGAACAACGACAATAATAGAGAGGAGTCACTTGGCATGGCTGCTGAAAGCTTCACAGGCCAGCACACTACCGCATCCTCTCCTGAGGAGGCAACCAAAAGCCACCACCAGCACCATCTCCTAAAGAACAGTCTCCTCCCCACCTGTTGCCCCAGATCTGGTCTGACAGTCACATTCATGAGCAACTGGGGTAGAGACTGGGAAGGGGACAAAGCTCGCGTCTGATAGAAATCCAATAGACAGAGTATCATTAAAACCTTGGGCTAACCTGAAGCCTGGCTGGAGCACCTACGCACCGTGTGCCATGCATGACAGGCATACTGGCCGTGGAGAAATCACATGCATGTCTACGTATGTTTCCTAGGATTCGTATGTGAAGTTGTTTTTTTTTTCCTTTTCTTTGTGATAAAGATGGAACCTGGGCCTTGCACATGCCAGGCAAGAGCTCAGCCAACTGAACTATGTCCTCACCTCTCTTCTTTCCTTCCATTCTTTTGCTTGCTTTTATTAAAAATTTTGGAGATGAACTTTCTTTCGTAGTTATAACCATTTCTTTGCTCATACTGGTGCAATGAGCTGCTAATCTTACACTTTGAAAGAGGACCCAGCCGAGTGCCTCACCAATATGACTCGCTCAACCTAGAAGCCGTGTCTTTTGTAGAATTTAGCTCGGGCAATAACATCATCGACTAAGTCAGCATCTATGTCTGCAGGAGTGACCATGGTCTCCATGCCCGATCTGAAGGCAGTCAGACCACCTGAAATGAAACACACGGGTTTAGATTCCAGCATCAGCTGTCAGCAGAAACAAGAAGTGAGCGCCCCGGACATCAGCTCACCCTCTAGGCAAAGATTCCGAAGCAGTAAGGTTTCCGTTTTCTCCTTACATGGCCCAGATCTGACAGAACTAAGGCAAGCTTTTTGTAACATTTTCTCATCTACTCAACAATTCGCTCACAAGTTCATTCACTCGTTTATTCATCCAACATGTTTCTAAAGCACCCACTATGTGCCAGAAAAGGTTCCTCACTGTGTGCAAAGTACCTAAGACCTCTCATGATTTCTCATGAGGGCTTGTGTGCACACACACACTATTCTGCCCCCGAAGTCAAGCCCCAGTCATTAATGACATAGTTAAAAAATGTGTGCTCTATGCTGGTGTCCTCATTCCTGCCTTTGAAGACCTTGAGATGGAAACAGAAAACTCTTCACTCAGAGTTCACTCCGTTAGAGAATGGAAAGCGAGAATACGTGTAAATACATAAATCCTGAGAGACAGGAATTGATGTGGTTAGACGGATAGAAAGAAAAAGGAAGTGAGTCCAAGAAGAAAAATTCTGTTTTTCTGCCCGTGGTGTCTGGTTGTATCAGTGTCTCCAAAGACAGAAAAGAAAGAAAGAAAGAAAGAAAGAAAGAAAGAAAGAAAGAAAGAAA